TATTTACCAGGGGGAATAGAGACATAAAACCAGCCGCTAACTTCGATCAGTGTGACATTTTCTGACATTTAAATTGAGTATTTCGCCCACTCGTGAGAAGCGAACGAAGCGTGTTAAATGGGTCGAAACTTGTTGTTGTTGCTGTTGTTGTTGTTTCTGTGCCTAAAATCAAAAGTTCTTAACATAAATTATTGGAAACGGATGCCTGGGCACTTCGATTGGCCTGGCCCTGAGAAAGTGTAACCCAAATTCGAGGCAGGTTGCCAATCAGCAGGAACGCCTCGTTGTCCTACTTATGCAATCGCACTTTCAAAAGACATAAAAAATACAGCAAAAATGCTGCCCGCAGGCGCAGGGCCAGCCCAGTTTGCATTCAACGATCGGGCAATCGCGTAATCGTATAATCGAGCAATCGATAAATCGAACATTGCCCATCCCCAGCGCGGTCAAAGACTGGAATTATCGCATATTGCGGGGCGCTTTGCCAGTTGATATTTGCATTTGCTAAAGGCGCACAATTTGGCCTAACAATAATGTGGCCAAGTGCAGCAAAAAAATATTGTTTTTTTTTTTTTTAGTTTACGAAAACAAAAAAAAAACTACAGTAACAACTCTATGAGCGCGGACGACAGCAAAGCAATTAGCGCTGGCCATTTATGGCCTGAGCTGGGAAAGCTGGCGAAACTGCGAAACTGTCCAGTTGGGTGGCTTTAAAGAACCGTTACGCAACAATCTTTTTGTTGTTGTTGTCGCTAGAAAAAAAATACGCTGAACGTTGCCGATCATGCTGCACAGATAAAGTCCACAATTTATGATGCCGCTAATCACCGGCATGCCTCGGGGATGACTCTTCAGGTTGTGGCACTTTGCCAGTTATTATGTGCTAACTGATAATGATTATCCTGCCAGAAGATCAACAGAGAGTGCGCACACTCACACACATAATTGTGATGGCATTTGGGAGCCTTCAGGCGGCCGCTAGACAAGATGATTAGAAAGATATCAGAGAATGCGATCACAAGAGTTGTGAGCTTGAGAAAGGCATGTGAGAAAAAAAAAAAGTAAAAGGCGGTTAGAAGTGAAGAGCAGAAATGTTGATAATCGCAGATCTGGCATAGCTTAAAGTCGTTCTCACACGAAAAGCGGGCTTAGTTTGTACAAAGGAAGCAATTATTACTGTTAGATATGCTGACAGTTTTGTATAACGCCAATGTTAAAGTTAAGTGTTGGTCAACGATCTCCAGTTGAAACAAACATTTTCATCTGACCATGCAAATGAATTCTAATCCGATTGAAGATTAGTGTTGATCAACGATCTCCATATGCAATAAACACTTTGATATGATTTGATTGAAGAAATGTGAGCAGCTACGTTGTCATCTTATTTTTGCTTAAGTTTGCAGTGTTGATCAACGATCTCTTATTAAAGTTGATACTTTTATACGTGAAATTAAGTGTTAATCAACGAGTTCTAGTCAAGCCAATGATTTGTATGCTTAGTGTTTGAGTGTTGTTTAACGATCTTTATTCAAATTCATTATGTGAAATGAACATTAAAGTCCGCTTTTTAACTATTGCCTACTCACAAATAACTCATAAAATTATTGCCAGCAATCTTCAAGATAAGTTGATATGTTAGCTATTCGAAATTGGAATAAAGTTAAATAAATCTGTGCTGCTTACTTTGAGATAATGTTTAACGATATTCCTTTCGCGTATAAATGATTATTATTCCTTTCGATGCCATTAAGGAACTTTCATTTATCTGGAATTGTATGTAATGAGATCACTCTCCAGCACTCGGTCGTCAGATCAATTGAAAAGATTCGCTTATAAATGAATGCGCTGCCGCCGAGCTGAGAAGGAAAGTAAAATCCATCCTAGCATCATCAGTCATCAGTCAGATCGATATTAAGATAGGCATTGCAGCTCCACACAATGACGCTTGATTATGCAATGATCTGTGCCCGCAAATGTCTCCCCTCTGCCCCTCTTTCGCTCTCTTCTCCACGCGCATCTCGCTCTGACAACGCCCATGGCTATCAGGCCATGCAGTTTGGGTGGGGCAGGGACTGGGACACGGGTGTGTAGACTGGGCAGCTGCAGCTGCTTGTTCACTTCAACGCCTGAGGCGACCGTGTGTCCAGGAAATGAGGTGAATGCCTTCTTAGTGGCAAAGCGGCAATCGGAACAAGCACAAACAAAACAAGCAACATCGACAGCAGCAGCAGCAGCACAAGAAAAAGAAGAAGAGTAAAGTCAACAGAAGGCAGACACCAAAGTCCAACAGCGAAATCGATATTATTTCAGGGACGTAGCTTCTGACAGTCTCAGTTTTGCAGTTGCTACTTCCACTTATGCTCTGCAGCAGCAGCAGCATAGGGCGCGTTTCGTATACCCTGTAAACACTTGAAATGTGGGAAGATGAGGTGTAAAGGTACAAAATCTGTACAGTTGACCTATTCTTTGTAAAATCTGTGTAGAATGAACATGTATCAGAAAGATTTCAAGCTAGAGTGTATCTTTCCTTCTTCACTATAAATTTTTCCGTAATTTCTTATTTATTCATATTTTTTTTCCTATATCTCGAGGACTATAAAAGCTACCAATACCAAACTTGGTATATGAGTTCTCGAAAAGCATACAAATTTTTGGGATATTTCACTTATTTAATAACTTCAGGCTCTCCCGAGTTATATGGAGTTAATAGGGTATCTATGAATCAAGCACACTTGTTTTTTTGTTTTTGTTCGTCTGTCTGTGTTTTTCGATTTCAGTTTTTCTGCGTGCTGCATGCGGTTCCAATTTTGTGCTCATTCGGCCATTGAGCGCGTATTGGTCGAGGGGTTTGGTTTGTGCAGCACGGGAGGAGGAGAGGGAGGGGGCGGTTTTGGTAAAGGGGGGTTGCGGGTGCGGCAATGATTACTGACAACAACATTGGTGGTGACTCACTTTGCAGAACATTTGCCAGCTTGTATGCACCACACACATGAACTCATAAAGTCTGGCAAGTGTGTGTGTAGTGTGTGTGTGTGTCTTTCTGTGGTTCATAGCAGCCACGTGAAGCCACATCAATCCATCAGCCGTCTTTTAAAAACGTGTCGCCTGCTTGCCACAAAGAACAACAACAACAGAAATAAATAATTGACAACGAATTGAAAGAAAAGACGCATATGGAAACATGCGTACCCATTGAATGCATAGTATAGGGTATTCCAAAGCTCTAAAAATAATAATACATCATTTCTATATATAGCTTATGTTCTTACTCTTGCTCATTGAATGCAACTTCCATCGATTTGTCGATAAGATAATATCACAGCGCAGATTTCTACGCCTAACTCTGATTATTCTTTATGTCGTCAATAAATATGAGAAGTGTATAGCTGGGCACAATTGTTGTTGATATACCAAGTATTTAAAGTCAATTGTTGGCCATATTGACAGCTGTTATCTAACGCAGTCTCTATTATTTACTTTAGGTTGAGTGTATAAATAATGTGTTAAAGACAACGTTCAATTAAATTAAATGTTGCAGCCGGAAATGAACCGATGAGTCTATACTCTGTTAACCAAAATAGAAACAACTAAAAAAAATTTAAAAAAAAAAAACCTTACTATTTATTGCGTTGATGACTCTAAGACTGTAACACTTATGAAATGACTCCAAAACTGTAAGAAGTGTAATAAAATGAATTATATAGAGACATATGAACTGTAAGAGATACGATTTATTATATCTAGATTATAGAATAAGTCACTCTAAAACTGCGAAATTATATCAGTAACTTTTAAACTGTAAAGTATAGAAAATAAAGCTTCTAGAGCTTAAGTCACTTTAAAACTGCGGAACTAGATCAGTGGCTTTCTAACTGTACGCTATGGTATATAGAGCTTCCAAGTTATGCCTCTAAAACTGTAGATCTGAGTCTGTGGCTTTCGAAGTGTACGAAATGGAAAAGCATGCTTCTAGATTGTGCCTCTAAAACTGTGGCACTATGACAATGACTGTCGAACCTGCAGATATGAAATATAATGTCTCTAGGCACTCTCAAACTATGTCAGGGACTGTTTGACCAGCTTAACTGAGCTGCATTATTAGAATGAAATGGAGTACTTGAATTGAATATACCCCATAATGGCAGCATTTAGCACAGGGTATACGCATTGGCCAAGTGTCTAAAAGTGTCAATAAATTGTTGACTGTGTCACGTTTCGAGTGTGTTTGTGAGTGCTGGCAACTGAATTATAGCCAGGTCTTATTGCCCATTTCTTGTTGTTACTTGCTGCTGTTGCTGTTGTTGTTGGTGTTGTTGCCTTTGCTTATCTGCAGCATGTTTTAATGAGTTTTCATGTTCTTAACTATGAGACAAACTGAAAATGAATGTCGCTGCCAAGCGTTTGCCAAGCCGTAAGCCAATTTAGCATTTAAGCCATCAAATCGAACACACAAATAACCCGCATACAATTGGAGCCATCGAACCGCAAGGCTCAGGCCAAGCCACACAACCACCGCGCACCAACGTGCACCACCGCGCACCACTGACAAGACGACAGTCTGACAGAGAAACCCGTCTTAACAGCGATCTTTACGTTAGTCAATTCGTCAATTGTCACATTTGTCTGGTTTAATAAGTTTTGCGAATGCTTAAGCTCAATTTATGTTTATGTTTCGACTTTATTTATGCCGCAAAACTGGTCAAAAGCAATTGACATTAGCAGCAAATAGAGGTTAAGTGGCTTTTGGGTTGGGTTACATGAATATTAATGGGGTTACCCTAAAGAGAGAGAGAAAACTTTTGCAAATTAGATATCTGCGCTGGATAATTCTTGAACACTTTCCACTGAGGTTTGAAACGTACAAAAATGTTTTATTTTATTATAAGAGTACATAGTAATAAGCGTAATTAATGTTAAGAGTCCAACTCTACCTATTTTATGACAATTTAACAAAAATAATTTCCCATTTCTAAAAACTTTTCTTGATTTTCTTTTTTCAGGTATGTAAATCCTAAAACTCATAACCAAATATTATGCTAAGGAATCACTGCATCAAAAACTGTTACAATTTGTAAGAAAAGCACAGTTCAAAGAACATTTTCGTGAAAAATGGGTCGCCTGAGTTCTTGATATTTGACACACCTTGTTGGGTAAGTGGCAACAAACCGCAAGATCTGAACTTTTAATACGAGGACTGGGCGTGGTTGCAAGCGGCAAGTGGCGCCAAGTGTTGAACTCTCTCTCTATACCCTGCCCCTTACGCCCAACCCCTTTCCTCTTGCTGCACTCTACACTTCTCGCCTTGTGCGGCATTTCACATTTCTTATGCACACCTTGCACTGATTTCCATGGCTTTAATTACTAAAGTGGAAGACCAAGTTGGTCAGCGCCATTGGCCCACATTTGAGGCTGCGTGTGACTGTGCGAGTGTGTGTGTGTGTGTTTGTGTGTAGCCCCGCGGCATTGCGTCGCGTTGTTGATGACGTTGGAGGTGCGTGAAGTGCCGTTGATTACCATGCAAAAAACATCGCCACACCCCCTTGTGGCACTTTTTTATGGTCTGCTCCAAATGAAAAAAAATAACAAAATTAGCATGATCTGAAAGTACACGGATTTAACCAAATTTTCAAATTTCCACCTAAGTTCCACCGAAGTGCGTGAAACACATGTGCATTGACTTTTCATGGGGCAATTTAAGATCGATTCTGAGGATAATTTTGCTTTTAAGCGGCTAAAAAATTTAGTTATTATTTAAGTCTGGGCTTTCAAAGGTATTTCCCTGTTTTCTAGTGCTTTTTGATTTCCTCTAATCTGGGTGAAATTCACTTTCACTAGAAGTAAATACAGTTGCCGATAGATTTTTGAGTGTATTAGAAAGTCGTGTCGTTTGTTACTGTTCCTACTTCATCTACAAGTCTCACAACTATGTTAACTTTGATTATTGCTTAAATAAACTATCGAAGCGTGTTGTTGTTCACTTGATCGGCAAGTGTTAATTATGCGCACGTTCGCCGTGGAGATCACAGAGAGAGAGCGAGAGAGAACGAGGGAGAAAGATGAAGAAAGCCCCACGCAATCGCAGCGAGGCCGGATATGCGTATGACTATCGTATGTTAATCGAATGATAATCGCATTCAGATTGCGACGGTTCACTTTACGAGCCTGACCAAGTTTGGACGCTAGGAAGCATAAATTGTGAGATATCGCAGCTCTGCGATTGCATATTAATATAATGTGGGAGTCATAAATACTATCTCACTGCAACAAGCCGCAAGCTCTTACAAAATCGGGAATTGAAGACTAGATTGGAACTGAAAACCAAAAAGAAAAAAACTGAAATCGATATTAATCCAAGTCGTCGCTGAGTTAGTTGTCAAACGCTTTGCCTCGTGGCATTAGCACAGTTTTAACAACATAGAGCTAACAATCGGAATTCTTTTTAAACAATTTTATTTTTTCGTAAAAATATATAAAACTAAGAAATCCACTTTTATTTCAATGGCCGACGATGATGAGGTTCAGTTTGATGCCGTCGATTCGGGTGCATCGAAAACCTTTCCGATGCAATGCTCGGCCTTGCGCAAAAATGGCTTTGTAATGCTCAAGGGACGTCCCTGTAAGATCGTCGACATGTCCACCTCGAAGACCGGCAAGCATGGACATGCCAAGGTACATCTGGTTGGCATTGATATATTCACACAGAAGAAATACGAGGACATCTGCCCCTCCACCCACAACATGGATGTGCCGCACGTCAAGCGCGAAGACTATCAGTTGACCGACATCAGCGATGATGGATTTGTCACCCTCATGTCTGACAACGGCGAAATACGCGAGGATCTCAAGGTGCCCGAGGGCGACCTGGGCGGTTGTCTGCGCACCGAATTCGGCGAGGGCAAGGATCTGTTGTGCACCGTTCTGGCTGCCTGCGGCGAGGAGTGTGTCATCGCCACGAAGGTCAATTCGGGTCTGGACAAGTGATTGCGAGAGTGTAAAGGCGGGAACAGAACCTGGTCTGATTAATATAAAAATCCATAAAGCTGAATTGAATTAAAAAGCAAAGCAGAAAACAGACGCTTGTTTTTTGTAGAATTTGTCTAGTCTGGTCTTGAATATTTGAACTCGTTAGAATTCGATTGAGCCGTGTCAAGGATAAAGTATTTACAGATTCAAAGGACTTTCATACGATAGTAATTAATCGATATATAGTTAGAATAAATGTCGTAGCATATGTTGGTTTTCATTAAGAAGACATTTACAGATTGCAGATATGAAAAGCAGCTAGATATGCTGTCAGTTTGAGTATTATTTTGATAGAGAATTCCAAAAATATTAATATAAAATCAAATTTACATCGAAATAAGTATTTCCTAAAATCATAAATTGAAAATTATCCTAAGATACATACAATAGATTCTTGTCAGCTTTTCGGATTCTTGTCTGCGCAAAGCCTTCAAGATGAATGTCTAAAACTATTAACATTGATCCTAATTTTTTTGTTGCTTTTTTCTCGTGTTTTGATCGTTGAAATGAACTTCAAAGTAATTTATGCTGTAGCGCTCTAGAAAATTGTAGGCCCGCATTTTGGCCTCAGGCTCATTTATCATCACAGACACAAGCATAATTTAATCGTCTTTATCAAATTAATGAGATCTCATTAAGTGGACGCGCCCCAGTCGTTGCAACGTTTATCAATTCGTTGTGGCCAGAGACCCAGAGAGCCAGAGACGAGTTAGGTCATCAGCACTCTTTGCTGGGTTCACATGTTGTTCATCAGGTGTTGCTAATTACGAGTTCTCTTGCTCCGGCGTTAGTTCAATGGCCAACTGACCGAAGTCTATTGACCACCTGAACAATTATGCGCCATTTGCAGCGTTCATTTCGTTTAAATGTCGTTTTCCATTTGCATTTTCATTAATTTTACTTAAACGAACGTTTATCGTTGGTGGAAAAAATATTTACCGCTCGTTTGCCGCTTGTTAGGCGCTTTGCCAATTGAAAATTAACTATAAAAAGGGGGTATATGCGATAATGTGTGTAACGAGCAAAATACCATATTTTTGAATTTATAAGTGATATAAAGTTTTGATAAGATCCATAAGCGCCAGGCATGATCGTCTGCCCAGTTTAACCTCAGATCGATATTAGGTACACGCAGTTCTTGTCGGTTTTTAAAGTCATATCTCTGGTATACATATATATTTATTTATAGCATCAGTTTTTTGGACATATTCCAGAGATTATAAGTGTCAGAGGCCCCAACTTTCGTATATCTACTCCCAAAAACTTAAACTTTTGTACATAATTACATACAGGGCTGACAACTCTGCCAGATAGAGATATCGATGAGAGCCTGTCGCAGCCGATAAAATGTTAGATGTCTGTTATCTAACAGAAGGGATGTGTTTGCTATACAACAGAAGAGATTCGTCTATTATGTAACGGAAGGGATGGTAAGTTAAAAGAGATGAAAGTTGGGTTCGAGCTTCTGAAGAGAAGAGACATGCGTTTAAATTCATAGACTATAAGAACGGAAAGGTATCTTTGTATTAATATAGCATAAAAACTAAATTTATCAAGTGAGTAAAATGCAATGTATTCAGATATTCAACGAACAGATTAAAGGGACTCATCCCAGACATTTTCAGGCCGATCGGATATGAAGCATAGAAGTTATTGAAGAATACATTTTTCTTATAGATTCCCACATCTAGAAAAGTAAGAAGCACAAAAGAGTATAGAGCCTGCAAGCTTCTGCTCAACAGCAGCTTGATGCAGGGTATCTTTCGATCGGGCAATTACCACGACATAACTCTTATTAGTTTGCCTCGGCTGCTGTGGCGTCTCGCTGGCGGCGGCGTCTTGGCTGCATCGCAATGCTCCACCTTTTGCTGCCGTCGGCGTCGTCTCCTTCATTTTCAATTGACAGGCAGCCGCTGTTTTGCTTCCTTGTTTGCCAATTGCATTGCCAATCGACTAAATGCATAATATTTGCATAGGCCCGAGGACTGCGTTAGATTGTGAGTATTCACTCGCACTCACGCTCGCATTCACTGATTCATTCATTGCGCCCGTCGCCAGTCATTCATTCAAATTTTGTAACTGTTGTTTTGCCTGCCAATTTGACATTTCTGTCAAACTGTCGCCGTTTACAGTCCCCCGTCCGCCCTCCGTCTCTCCCTCTGTCCGTGTGGGTGTGTTGACTGCTTCCAGCTGGTTTCCCAGTGCGTGGCAACCAACTATCTGTCCGCCCCCCAATTCCCCCACCATTCCCTTCAGCTATTGAGCACGTTGTCATGTCTGTTAACAAATGCAATAAATTTGTGCTAGTACAATTTAATACGATTTGTGTCTGAGATTTTGGCTTAAGGATTTGGTTACATGACTGCAACCACTCCCCAGAAAATACGCTGTGGGAATGAATCAAAAACTTAGAAAAAAATTGCCTGCGCATGATGTCATAAGGCGTCGAGAACTTTGCATTCGTTGCCTGAAATTCAATTAGTTGCCAACGAAATAAACAAAAAAACGAGAAGCATGAAAAAATATCGAATTATGAAAAACAAACAGAAAGGCAACGTTTACCCATTTTGACGGGGGCGTCTGTGAAACGCGATGGAACCCGCATTTTCGACAATTCTTTGAGTCGAGTCGAGTCTGAGAAATGTTTCCCAACAACAGCTTTGGCATATGTGAGAAATAAAAACGATATTGAAAACCGGGCAGCGAGTGGTGGGTGCCAATGAATTTGTAGGATTGCTAAGCAATGAATAAATAAAGGCGTTAGCTCTTAGCCGCACCAAGAGAGAGAGAGAGAGAGAGAGAGAGAGGGAGAGAGAGTGAGAGAGAGAGGAGGGGTGGCAAAACAACTAATTGTTAAGCTTGATTGATAAATGTTTGTCCAGTTGCTTAAATAGTTGGAATATGTGTGGAGTGAAGACAACAAAGTATAAAAAAAGAAAAGAGATGCTGTATTGCATTCCTCAAGGTGAATTCTGCGTAGGAGTTAATATTTCTTTGAGCTCATTTATGTCAACATTAAAATTAATAATATTTTTTTGATATATCTGTTAAAAAGATTTTCCTTGGCATTAGGTCTGTGTCTACATGACATTATCGCTTTGCATATGGACAGTTGTAAATATCACAT